TTACTACGCCCTATATAATCTAACGTTAGGGATTATAGCTAGGCCTATAATCTAAGGATAGTCTCTATAGGTATATATAGCTACCTACTTTTACTCCTTTAGATAGATAGCTCTCTAGCTTTTAATATAGATCTTTATTACGATTCTATCTCTAATTCTAATTACCTAGTTATAGTCTATAGTCTATAACCTCCGACTTATTACTAACGTAATATACTTATTATTGCTTAGACTACGCCCTATTATATCTACTAATATAAACCCCTTAATAGGTTTATCCCTTAGGAATAACACCGGTCGTTATACCGCTAAGGGCTAATATACTAACCTATTAAGACGCTTAACCTAAGATAGGGCGGTAGTAGTAGCGCTATAAGTAGGTAGAGGAAGGGTAGGCGCGATAGTATATATTAGTAGAGCGGGGGGGCCTATTAAACGACCTAAGAAGGAGGCGAATAAAGGCGATAACCGATTAAAACTTAACCTAAACTTAGGCCGAAATATACCCTAGGAATAAGCTAACCTTATACTAGTATTTAATAACTAAGAGCTATAAAAGAAATAGATAGAGGCGCTAAGGAAAGATAAGGAATACTAAGCGGTATTTTAAGTAGTATATAAAAGAGAGAGATTACTAGCACTAAAATAATAGCTAAAAGTATAGCTAAGTAAATATATAATTAATATTAGGAGATAGTTAAACTTTTAAGAAAGGCTATAAGTACTAAGGAAACTAAAGTATAATAAAGGAAAGGGGGCTAAGGAATAAAATATACTTTAGGTATAAATAGCTTAATAGATATATAACTTAATAGTAGTAGGATACTTAAGGAGAGAAGGGACCTTAGCGATACTAGCCTAAGAATTCTTTTAGCCTAGCTAGTCGGCGATAGTAAAGTAGTATATCGCTAACTACGGACTATATAGGAGGGGGTATATATAAAGGTAACTTTAAAAGGGACTCTTAAAGCCCTTACTACCGCCGTCCTAACTATTTATATACTTATTAATAGACTTTATAGTTAAACTACCGCTAACTAAGATAGAAAGCGCGAAGTACCTTTTAGGTAATTATAAACTAGCTAATAAAGGTAGTAATACTTAAAGCGATACCGACGATAAAGGTAGTAGTATACACGATAAGGTTCCTCTAAGCTTACTTTTACTTTTATAGGATACTAAGGTTAATTATATTAAATAAAGGGATAAACTAAATAAAAAGCTTTTAAAAGGAGTTCTATAGATAAATAAGAGTATAAAGGAAGTTAAGTTTAATATACTACCTATAAATAAATAGGTCGACTAAGTATATAAACTAAGAAGTATAAGTATACCTTTAAGTGTATATTTACTATAGCTAGGACGACTAAGGAGCGTAGCTACTATATATATAAGCCGTACTAAATAACCGCGTAGCGTTAATAATAAGTATAAGCCTATTCTTCGCGACGTATAGATATAATATTAAGCTAGTTTAAATAATAAGGGAGGAGGGGCCGCTAGCGCTAAAAGTAAGAAGGGCGAGGGAGCTCGCTTAAAAGATAAGAGAGGTAACCGACTTCTTATAAACCGCTATTATCGCGGTATAAGTAAGATAAAAGGAAATAGTAAACTAAAAGAAAGCCCTAGTAAAGAGGTTTAAGGTAGGCGATAAGGTATAGGTAGATATAGCTAAATATATAACTAACTAGCTATATAGGAAGCTTAACTAGCTATACTAAAAGTATACTATAATAAAGGTAGTAAGCTTATATATAATAGAGCTTAATATACTAAGGAGGGTATATAAAAGGCTTTATATAGAATTTCTCTACTAAGCGGTAGAGAACCTATTACTTAGATAAGTAATTAATAACTACTAACCGCTATTAGTAATTAAGGAGGATAATAAGCCTAAGTATATTATTAAAGAGATTTAATAAGCGCGGTAAAAGTAAAGGGGGAGGGGTAGATAATAATAGGTGCTTATAAAATAATAAGGGTATATAAACCTATCGTAGTACCTATTAAACGACTTTTAAGAGATAGAAGCCTTAGAGGGATTTAAGAGATAGTAAAGAAATATAAGGGAGAATAATAAAGGAGGGGTAAGAGAAAGGGATAAAGAAGAGGGTAGAAGATAAAGAAGGGGAAATAAAAGATAAAAGGGGGAGAAAGAAAAAAAGGTAAGAGATAGGAGACGCTTATTAAAAAATAAGGAAAGGATAGAAAAGAACTATAGTATTAAAGGGAAATAATAAAGGATAGATAGGGGATAGATATAAGAGAGATAGTAATAAAGGATAGATAAGGATAGGGATAAGGGTAAGATATAATAAGACGAGATATAAATATAATAAGATATACTAAGAATACTAACTTAATTTTAACTAACTATAAACGCCCCTTAACTACCGCTTAATTACTTTAAGATATTAAGGTATATCTAGGCCTAGTATATAAATATAGCAGCGTAGGTAAGCTTAGTATACTAAAACGATAGTTAGAGATAAATAATAAGATAAGGTTAAAAGGGGAATAAAGTATATATATAAGGGTCGCTCTAGTAGTTATTAAACGTCCTTTAAGATATATAGTCTTAAAGGGTATTAGTAGTAGCGATTATATTCCTAGTATACTATTATTATATTAATATCTTATTAAATAAAGTTAAGGGAGAGTAATAAATAAAAAGGTAGCGTAATCTACTATAGGTATAAGTAAAGTAGTTATAAGTATATAGCGACGCTTAATTTTAGTAGGTATTATATTATATCTTAATACTTAGCGACGTTATTTAGCCTATATAGGCGAGATAGGGTAGCCGCTATATAGTAGTACTATAGGTCGCGCTATACTTACTAAGAGATATAGGTAGACGCGTCGACTAGCGCGAGGGCGGTAGAGTATAGTTGCCTAGCGTGCTAGGAGGTAAGGTACCGCTACGTAAAGTAGAGAAGCTAGCGGGCGTATAAGGGCCTATAGTAGTTATAATATAGCGCGGCGTAGCGATAGAAGTTAGGTAAAGTAAGGGCGCGCGCGCGGAGGGAGTAAAGCTTAAAGAAGGAAAAAGAAAGAAAGAGGGAGAGGGGATAAAAGAGGGGTATTTATACGCGGCGGGGTACGCGTATAGTTAGTAAGGTATAAGGGTATATACGCGGAGGAGGGAAGGATAGGGCGGAATAAGCGTATAAAAAAGCGGTATATAAAGGGATAGGGCGAGCGTAAGGTAGAAGGAAGCGACCGCGCGCGCTAAGAAAAAGGGGGATAGCGATAATAGAAAGGTAATAAGAGAGGAATAAGAGTACTACTAATAAAAAAGGGAGAGCGGGGGTAGTATTATAGGCTACGCCTATAGAAGGCTAAGGTTATACTATAGCGACTATACTAAAGTCGGGCTAAAGTAGACCTATATATAGGTAGAGCTCGACCTAAACTTAGGCTAAATAGTACTTAAATATAGGTTAAGCTAGGGACTAAGGAAGATAGATAACCGTCGCGATTAAGATAGAGTTTTCCTTCTTTCTCCTTAGCTTTAAATAAATAATTATTCGGCCTTATACTACTATACTAAGTATATACTAGCCCTTAATATAAGGATAGTATAGCTAGATAACGTCTATTTACTATAAATAGTATAGCTATTATCCTATAATTTAGATTTATAACTCTTAATATTAAATAGTAATAAAAGTTATACGCTTATATATATCTTATTTACTTTCTTATAAATATATATAATATTCTAGTAGCCTTATATAGCTAATTTATATATAAGATAAGTTTATAGCTTTATTTTATAATTAATATATAGCTACCTTTATTTCCTTTTAATATATATCTCCTATAGCCTATAGCCTTTATAAAATAGCGTCTTTAATGCCTTTAAGACTATATATCGGAAGGAATTAGCGAACTTAATAGTATTAACTAACTCTATACCTATTAATAAGATTAACCTTATCTATTACTATACTAAGGTTAGAAAGGAGAGTATAAAAAAAAATATCTAAGTAAGGTAATAAGTTATAGAGAATAGGATAGTTAATAATAGTAGAATCTTTACTTATATAAAAGTATAATAAGACCGAAAACCGACTCTAGAAATTAAACCCTTTAGCTTTAATCTAATAATACTAAGTATAGGCTAATAACCCTATAGGCTATAAAATCTCGAGGCTAGTAGTCTTAGAAGGACTTAAAGAAAGATATCTAGAGTATTTAAGCATAAGGAAGTAGAGTTAGTATTAAAGGATTAAAGATTCTAGGCCTTAGCGGCTACGCTAAATCGTATAAAGCTAAGGAAGAAAGGAATAATCCCTAATCCTAATAATATATTTATAAACCTTTAATATATATTAGAGAATGTCTAGATACTTCTATAGAGCGAAGAATAGGCGCTAGATATAATTATAGGCGCATTTAATTAGGTTAAAGGGGAGAAGGGGGAAGGAAGGATAAAGTTACCTAATTCGTCGCCTACTTATTTACGGGCGCGGCGATAGACTAAAATCCTAATAGACCACGTCGATTAAGCATTAAACGCACTATAGAGTAGTATTTCTTCTATAATTTAATCTAGGCGAATGGCTTTAATTTAATTAATATAGTTTGTATGGTCAGGGCGCCTTTTTGCTATACCGGTTGTGGGGGTGTACCGGTTCTGGGTGGGGCATGGTACCGTTTAGACTGTTCAGCGAGGCCAGGCTGGCGATGCTCGAGTGCCGGCTCTCGATACCGCCGCCGGCGGCTTACTAATGACGGCGGTTAGAGCGGCGGACAAAGCGCACCGCCTCGCTCTCGATCCACATATCAGTGTTGCGGTCATTGCAGACGGCGTGGGCCATAAGCGACGTCTTAATCTACGTCGCCTCGTCGAGCAGGCCGTTGTACTCGCGCTGCAGGCTGGCTTGCCGGCTCTCGAGCTCGTCTTTTATCGCCTTAAGCTCGTGCACCCACTACATCTTCTTTTCGCGGGCCTTAGACGCGGCGATGCGGTTGCGCTCTAGGCACCGGCTGCGCTAGGCGTCTTGCTTAGGCTCGCGCTCGCCGCCAGTCGCCGCCGTCTCCGAAGGGTCCGTCTTAGACCTCGTCTTTGGTTTCTTCTTCGGAGGCATCTCGTATTTCGACGGCGGGAGTAAGGATCGTAAGTCGGCCGCGGCCTGGGACACGGCGCTGCCGCTCTTGCCCCTGCCCCTACCGTCCCTGGGCTTCTTGAGCTTAGTGGGCGACGTAGCCGACGGCGGTGATAAAGGGGTTATGCGGCGTGTCTTAGGCGCGGCGACGAGAGCAGGCGGCGCTGTCGTCGCAGCATCCGACGACATGGCGTTGCCGTAGATGCTGCCGCAGTCGAGCGCGGTGGCGTCGTACATGCGCGGCGTCAGGGCAAACGGGGCGGGCGACTCGGCCTATTCCTTTTCGTTCTTGATGCCAAACAGTAGCAGGCCCATGCGCGGGTCGAGCACCATGTCCGAGACGAGGCCCATATGCGTTGTTAGGTCGCCTCCGCCGGCCTGCATGCCTAAGTCTAGGCTGCCCATTTCGGCGGCGGCCATGCCGTCTAGATGTTTCTTGCCTGGCCTCCTCCCCCCTGTTTCCTCGTTCTGGGCTTCTGCTCGGCGCGAGCTTCCGAGGAAGTGGTAGAGAGGGCCGTAGCAAAGGGGATGAGTCTGGGTTCTTTGTCGTGCATTCGGCCGTTGGGGTAGAAGCGCCTAAGAGTCGCGGTCGCGGGCATTGATGCTGGCGGTGCGTGTCTGCCTGACTCTGAAACGGGTGAAATCAATGTTCTGATGAGAGTGGCTTGGTAGTCGTTGCAGCAGTGGTTACATCTGGAGACTTTTTCAGTGACGCCCAGGCAACTGCAGCAAATAGGGCATTCTTTCTTCGGAGTAGTTATATCCACAACAGCTTCCGCTACAGGAGACCGGCCCCTTCCAGGGTCCGCCAATGCCTTGAGGAACGGACTAAAGCATTAGTTGGCCGGCGGCAAGTATCAACGCGCCCGGTAGTGCTAAACGGCTCCCCGCCCCGGTCCCCGAACTAGGTAAGTATGCCTATCTTTCGCAACCCCAATTCTCGTACATTCGTCTCGTTTCTACGGCCAAGTTCTTAGGTCTCTGCATTCCATCAATTATGGCCTGATACGGCCCATTGCCAATGAAATCATGGTGTCTCACGGGACCAAGAAGTTTGATGCCCCGAAGCGTAGTGCACCTGGACAGTTGCACATAGAGGCTTGTAATCCGCTCCTAAACCCGCCCCGCCCCAGCCCGCCGATAGGGCCGCCGGTAACGGCACTGGATTTGCACCGCGGCCTGTCCCTGAGAATGCCAAAGTCGGTCTGGCTAAGACCAACGAGTTCAGAGCACTTCACAGTGCTCCAGCCCTAACATGGAATACGGGACTACAGAAAATGGCTCAAGATTGGGCCAACGGATACAAATTTCACACGGAGGCACTGCCAGGGGGACGGGTCAGATTCTCTATGCCTCCAGCGTAAAGTTAGGCCCCGACGATAACTACCTGAGCGACCCTACCAAGTTTTGGTACAGCGAAGGACCAACATTTTCTCAAAGCACCGGGTACGATGAGCCTGGCCAGCTTGGCACGGCTGGACACTTTACACAGCTGGTCTAGAAGGGAACCACCAAGATGGGCTGTGCCAGGAACATCGTTTCCTGCCCTAAGAATGCTTAGAGCACCATTGTTGTGTGCAACTATAAGGAGGCTGGTAAGTCTCGGGACCTTTATCCCACGACGCTTTTCCCGATATTAATTTTGCGCAGGTAACTTGAAGGGGGCATACAAGAAAAACATTGCCGCCGTCTTCGTATAAGCCATCGTAGCCTACGAGCGTAAAGCCGCTCACGCTGATAAACCCAGGCAGAGAAGATAACTTTGGCTACTCTAGCTTCGGACCGAGAGGGGGGCCATTTCTCAAGTATATACTTCGACTGCTGAAGCAACCCCTATGTACTTTACCACCTGGTGTGTAGATGTCTGAATATACGTAGGGGTATCATGGTAGCCTGAGTAACTGCAGAACCTCCGTCGTCCTGTTGTGGAGCTTGGCGACTTGGCCTGCCGGTCTTGGCCGGTCGGCGCTGCGGTGCATTGCTGCGACTTGCACGTTCAGGACTCGCTGACGAACGAAGTAGCTCTGTGGACATGCCCGGGGCCTTCCTGTACGGAACCAATTCCTGTCAGATGAAGGACACGGAATTGAACATCTGCCTATGTCGAGAAGAAGGTCCGAACGAGTTGAGGTCTCTAGGTCTCTCTAGGTAATACAGCTTGAAACCAGGTAAGAAGGGAGGTCTGTAGACTGTCTGTTATTTCTTCTTCCTAGACCACTAAGGAGTCCGGAGGATCTCCTATTCGAACGGGGACCCTTTGAGGAGTCCGGCATAACTCTTACTGGCTCGGGGACCTCGAGAGACTGAACTATCTGTGAAAGGCATCACCAAACTAGGCATGCAACCAGGTTGTGGCCAAATACAGTTTATTATCTTGATAAAGAAGAGAAGAAGAGCGGAAGCGTGTCTATCTGGATCCCCTTTTGTGATGTGCCCGTAAGCTCAGGGGCTCAGGGGTAGGAGCTGGGGTTCCTTTCCGGGGTTCCCCTCGGAATTCCAGCTCAAAGGGCTTCAGCCCATAAGACTATCGATCTAATAGCTAGAAGAGCTATTGATCGGGGAGAGCGAGCTGATGTTGCTGACGTAGATGACTTACGCGGCCTTCAGTAAGTGCCAAGAAGTGCCCTCTTCCTGATAGAATGTATACTATACCTGAAAAAGGGATATCAACTTGGGAGAAAGTTTGAGTGATATAAAAAAGACTGTTTGGACGGATAAAGGGCAATGGGGCACAGACATTAATACACAGACCCCCTGGTCATATGAGAACCTACCTACGAAAAAGTCCGTTTATTCACTTTTATACCCACGTTGGATCTCCCCTTCGCGAGAACCCTTGCGAGGCCTTGCAAGTAGCACTGGGTGAGGCTTTCCGTTGCAGTTATTCTTCTGGATAGTCTAGCTCAGCATATCCTGTGCCCCACCGGGACCTGAGCGGCCTCAAGGCCGCTGGGCGAAAAATACATAATTTACATCCATCCGAGCCTCCTCCAGACAAACGTGATGCCGCTCATAGCAGCTGTAGCCCCCGTAAACGCAATCAATGGCCCATATCCCGTTCCGTAACCGCCAAACGCCTTGCCGTGCCAAGGTAGATCCTTGGTGAGAAGTTGGCTCAGCGGGCCCGACACGACACTGCCGATGCCCCTCCCGGTAGACAGGAGGCCCAGCACCATGGTGGGATCAAAGGTGGCCCCGCCGCCTGTGCTCCGTCTGCTCATCCCAGACGGAGCCGGTTCCGACGTGATTTGGTGCATTATACCAGTCCAGGCCGAACCGTACGAGCCGGCGAAGAGGCCGTAGACAAGGCAAAAGACGAAGAGGACAGGGAGATTCGTGGCAAGGCCCCACAGAAGGAATGTGCCCAGCGCGGTGCCAATAGCCGAGATGAAGAGACAGGTGGTGACTTGGATGTGATCGGTAAGGGAGCCCATGGCGGCGCAACCAAAGACGGAGGCAACATTAATAAATAGGACGGTAAGAGCCGAGCCAAAGGAACCGGCGCCGATGGTGCGGGCATAAATTGGGAGATAGATGCTCGGGAGGAAGAAGCCGAGAGCTTGGCAGATATTGGCAGCCTGGTATAAGAGGAACGTGCGCTTCAGGGCGAAGCTCATCTCGAACGCCTTGCTATGCGTCGTAGGCGTAGGCGGCAGCCGGGGCCTAATGAAATAGGCTAGGGGCATGGTCATAACAAGCAGCGCTATGGCCCAGATGCGCAGGGTCGTACGGAAACCGTAGCGTCCCAACAAGTGTTCTAGCAACAAGGGGAGCACAAAACCGGCAAGGCCTGTGCCCGACCACATAATGCCGTAGGCGAAGCCTTTGCGCTTAACGAACCATTCGTCCATATACAAGATACAGGGGCAGTAGGAAGTAGACCCCCCGATGGCGTAAAAGACGCCTTAGGTGACGATGAGGTGCGCTGGCTTGCGCGAGAAGGAGCTCGCGGCAAGGGAGATGGACATTATGGGCAGGCCGATGACGGGCGACCATCTGCCGAAGCTTGGGAAGAGCCGCTGGAGCCCCATGACGAGAGGAACGTCTAAGAACATGATGCCCTACCGGCGGAAGGTGAGCCAAAAGAAGGCCAAACCAATGGATCCAGAGTCAACTGAGAGGAGGGAGGGGCAGCTCCAAAACTTACCAAGGCGCAAGTTCCGATGATGGGTATTTGAGAGGACCCGGCAAAGAGCTCGTGAGTGACATAATAGTCATGGAACACGCCAAAGACAAAGGGAAAACCTGCAGGGCGAGGGAGGCCATTAGCAATGCCGTCGAATGGGGGCACACAGAGCAACACTACGAACACCTACCCCAAGTCAAGGCCTCGACGACAAAGGCGGCGGCGAGAAACAGCCACGCCTGTTTCCCATGGTCGGCGGGCGGCAGCAAAAACTCGTCCCCCATCACGTACAGCGTCTCGTCCGACTGGCCTCCTACAAACGACAGCGTGCCGGAGGTGGCCGAGGGGTCGCGAAGCTCAGCCGAGGGCCTGGCCATGGTGCGGGATATTGCACGGCAGTCGAGCAGCTCGTGGGGCCCTTTGGTCTCGCAACGCGTGCTGCTCTGTCCAGTCCAGAGGTCGGGAATAGAAACACGGTTGACGAGGACGCATGGCGGGTTGAAATCTCTTTTTACCCTTCGGGGGGCTTTGTGTTTGTTGCACCAGTCCGCAAACGTGGAGGTGGCTGGAACGTGCTCGGAGCCTCGTACACATATCCATGGACGTATGGTCTTCTCCGCAGCGCAGGGCATATATTGCTGTTCATGCACAGTGGGTTGACGAGACCTACAAACCTCGGAAAGCATTACTAGGCCTGCCAAACCTCCGCCGCTCTCACGCCGGCGCGGCTATGACTCCTCACCTCATGGAAATTATCCGACAGTACCACTTAGCTCACCGGATCGGTTACTTCACTGGAGACAATGACACTAAAAACGACACCTATCTCCGCCAACTAGCCGTGGAGCTGTCGCGAGAGTTCGACGTTACGATTGATCCAGTGTCTACTCGGACGCGGTGTGCCGGTCATATCATTAACTTGTCCCTTCAAGCTTTCCTCCTTGCAACTAGCGAGCACGCTCTGAAGGCCGCAATTGAAGCGGCGCAAGATGAGGCGAATGATGTAACTGCTGCGGATGCCTTACATGACCAGATTCGGGCGGCCACTAGCCAAAAGAGTCACGACAGGCGTAAGAAACGCCATGATACTGCCGGCTAGCGGAGCATCGGCCCAATGTACGGTGGCACATTAGCTAAGGTCCGTAAAGTATGCCAAAACCTAAACCTACTAAATTACTATACCACTTTATTTATATATCGTTCCTAGTAAGATTCTCGTATATATATAAAAAAAATAAAGCTATTTATACGCGGGTAATTAACTAGTCTTTGCTTTACCCTAAGGCTCGTACGAGCTAAGGTTACTAACCTAGAATACTACGAGAAGGTGCTAGTCGTCGTTCTAGATTAGCTAGGACTTCCTAACTAATACCTCTATATAAGGCCACTTAGCTAAGGCTTTATAGGTGCCCGCTGCCTATTATTATAGATAAAGAAATACTCGTACGTACCTTTCTAGAGGACGACTAGGTCGTCCGCGGTTCCGTCCTCGAGCAGCAAAATCGCCTAGCTAGACGAGGACCCCGGAGCCTCGTCGACTAAGATCGGCTGCTCTCGAGAACCGGATATAAGGGCGCCTCGTACGCTAGGTAGAAACCAAGGATCTCCTTCGGAATAGCGAGTAGCGCGATCCGGCTACTTATAATTACCGCAGCAGCCACTAAAGTAGCCCGGGAGGCGAATATAGTAGGGAAAGGGACTTACGTACGCGTCCCTATCTATAATTATCTTATTTTAGTAAGATTTATATAGACGGGGATAGAGAATGCCTTAACTTTAGATAAGGAAGGCGTTTACGTATAAGTCCCTTATACCTATAACCTACTCTAGTCGTACGCGCTTATAGAGGAAAATAACGCGACGGCTAGGTAAGTTAAGGATAGCGCGCTATACTATATTTTTCGTGTACGGCCGGAGTTACTGCCTACTTATGTCGACCTTAAGGAGGCGCGGTCTTCGTAGGAGCTCGCGTATAAGATCCTAATCGAGTGCCTTAAGAAAGTTAGTATCTTATATAAGAAGGTAAGTGCTAAAGAGGTTTTACTTACCTAAGGAGGCGCGCCTTAGTAGATAAGCTAGTTATTAGCGTTTCTATATAAATATATTAGTAACTTACTATATATAAGGAGCTAAGGAAAGAGATATATACGCGCTTATAGTAGTAATACTACTAATGCTATTGCTACTATTATTATTACTATTGCTATTGCTATTACTACTATTACTGCTGCTAGTAATAATAAAAAGAAGAAAAGGAATTTACGTACGCGAGCGTAGATTAAATAGGTAGGTAATACCTAAGGTATACGACCTACTAGCTAGTAGGTTATAGTAAATAGAATAAGAGAATAGCTCGTATTAACGATAGCTTTATTATAAGAAGACTATATATTATACTTTTATACGAATATATAGTGCTATTCTATTTATATAGTAGAGCAAGGTTTTTCTCCCTTTTTTTTCCTTTCTTTCCTCTTCCTTCTTCCTTTTTTTTCTTTTCTTTCCTTTTCTCTTCTTTTTCTATTTTTTCGTTATATATAATGCCGCCTTATTTCTACTAAGAAAAGTGCCTAAAATCTCGGCGCCTTTATTACTTAATTTAGAATGCATTTTTATAATCTATCTACTGCCTATTTTACGTAGTCTCTTAGCTAGAGACTATTAACCTTACTATAGAAGAAAGTCCCCGTTATACGGCGTCTATATTATCCTCTTAAGTCTTTAGCCCTCTTCCTTTAGGAACCTTAAGCTCTTCTTCTCTTTCTAAATAAGACCGTACGATAAACTTTACGAAGAACTTCTAAGTAAAGGTATAAGAGGCGTTTAATACTACTTATGCTACTAAGGAAGCTAGCCCGTACGACTATCCTACTAGCTTACTAATTCGACTCTATAGCCTACTCTTTCTTAGAGAGTATAAAGAGGACTTCTTTCTTCTACTAAAAGTTATATAGCTTTATATATATAATCCCTTATAATAAATATTTTTCTCTAACCTTTATTAGATACTATTAACCTTCTACTACTCTCCTTATTTAATTTTAAAGAACCTTTCGGTATTACTAAAAAATAATAGATTAAGCGATATATACGACTAAGCTTTATAAAGTAATTCGATAAGAAGATTCTATAGGAACTTAGTAAGTCTTAGAATAAAAAGAGTAGCTTTAATAAGCTCCCTACCCCTTTTAGAGATATAGATCGTATAGTATACGAGCTTTTTTAACGAGATAGGAAGTATAAGTAGAATATCTTTAATAGTAAGATTAAAGTCTAGATTAACTTTTAACTTTATAATTCCTTAACTCTTATATATACGAACTAGTAAAAGAGAAAAAAGCAAAATAAGGTAAAGGAAGAGGAAGAATCTCCTTTATTCTTAAGTTCTTCTCTCCCTTTACCTCGTATAAACTAGCTAAATATATAAGACGAGGTAAAGAAAGAGGAACGTATTTCTTTAGCTTCTTATATAAGTAATAGTTCTCTCTTATATTTCTTTTAAGTAAGTCTAAGCCTTTCCCCTTAAGATAAAACTAATAACTAGAAGGATACCGCTTAAGGTCGTATAACGACCTTATTACTAGACTAAGTAGTATCGCTATAAGCCCCCGAAAGCGGCCTATTATACTATATACGCCGTATTTAAGAAAGACGACTAATTTAGATAAAGAAGCGAAGCGTATATAAAGACTAGATATTTTTAACGTCTTCTTATATAAAGTCTTAAAGTTAGGCTTAGAGAGCTTATAGTAGAGGGTCCCCTTAAAGGTCTAGGTTAGCGATAGGCTCGTAATTTCGCTAGAGAAGTATATACTAAGAGAATAAGTATATATTTATACGAGATAAAGAGTTTTCCTTATAAACTGCTATGCCCCCCTATACGAGATAGTAATAAGTAATAAGATCGGAAGTTAGCTACTTTACTAATGCTCTTAGATTCGCTATCGAAGTCTAATATATAAAGGTAAGAAAGGCCGTCGATAGTTATCGATTCTATCTTTATAAAAAAGGGAAAGCTCTCTCGTATACTAAGCTATTATTCCTTTAAAAAGAAAGGAATCGATATCGTAGTCTTTAAGCGGTTTAAGTATCGTACGAAGCGCCGCTTAGTTATCGTCCTCTTTATCCTAGCTTAGAGGGATGCCCTAATTACGTATATCTTACCTATAATAGAGGTCTATTAGGATCCTAGAAAGAATATATTAGCGATTTCTTTACGTACGGATCTTATACCTATTCTAATAGGATATAAAATTAGTAAATTCGTCTTATAGAATCGTACTATAAATTATATATAATGCAATTTAATTAGTAAGGGAATCTTTAATAAAGAGAGTATATTCTATAAGCTCGTTAAAGAAAGACTAATAGAATAAGTTAGTATAGATATATTCCGTACGAAAGGGGAGAAGCTTATACTATCTACCGATTAATTACCCCTTTCCTTAACTAAGACTACTAGCTTTTAATACGTACGTTCCTCGTACTCGGGCTATATATATAGTAAGAGTTAATTCGTTCCCCTTATTAGTACTAGTACTAATTCCCTGCCTCGTCCTCGTACGAGATTTTAGCTAGGTTAGCTTAAGTAAGCATTACTTAGGCTACTACCTAGAGAGGCGTCTTAACGCTATAATCCGAGCGAGTAAAGAATAGTCGTATCCTAAGCCGCTATATTATATATAAATACTACTTAAGAGTACTTAAAGACGTAGTTATAGATCGGCTAATATAAAACTAAATAATATACTATAAGTATATATTAATATAAGCGTATATCTAAAACCCGAATTTCTTTAGTTTCTTATACCTATCGAGGCACTAAAGGAAATTTAGTCCTAGGACTAAGAAGTCCGTATAATACTTAAAGTTCCCTTCTCGATATCGTTAAACTTCCTTAGGGAGAATTAACCGATAGAAATTATAAAGGCGATTTTATAAGACCAAGATATTTCCCTTTTATCGTACGTAGTAATAAAGGTAGCCTCTCCCGAAGCCTCGAATTATAGAAGACTCTTAAAGGTCTTTTTCGAGGAATGCGATTATAACTTAAAGGGCAGCCTCTCTTTCTTTACTCGTACGGAAATATCTTTTTATCCTATTCTCCTAGTAGATACGTCGAATTATAGAAGGAGATACTTAGAGCCTATCTTAATACTAGATATCTTAAAGGATAGAAGCGTTATTAAATCCGTAGGTATAAAAGTAAAAGCGTACGCGTTAAATAAGCTAGTCTAATACTTAAGTGTGCTATTGCCGGGTAAGGCCCTACGACGTAAGAGATATCTTAAGGGTTCGTAGGCTAATACTCTAACTCCCTCGTACGGAAAGTATTTAATTAACTTAGCGAAGAATCTCTTAGTTTAGCGCCTTAGTA